TGTAGCGTTGAATGTGGTGGGGAAAGAGTTGACAGGGTTATCTGATTTTTCATAGGGAGGAAGGAGATTTTTGAAACAAGGGGCGGTGTCTGACCTCGCCCCCATAGGATGAAAAAATGAGATTTTCCTAAAATGGCTTGCTTGCTCTATGCACTGGGAAGAGGGCATAGCATCGACCTCCCCTCATTGATTTTGAGTGAAATGAAGAAGGGGTGTGATGCGAAGAGGAGTGCACTCCCTTTTGGCACTTTAGTGACTGAAATATGCACTGACAATGGGGTTAGGATAAGGCCCGAGATGGAGATCCAAAAGCCAATGAGGTCACTGAACAAGGGCTCTTTCAAGAGAAGCCAAGGGCATAGTGGCGCCCTAGCGGCTAGACAAGAAGTGCCTCCTCCCCAAGGAGTCGATGAAGTGCAAGAGGAGCTTAATGCTGAAAAGGAGAGAGAGAGATGGAGGAAGAAAGGGACCAAGCACCTACACAGGAGGCAAGACCTAGCTCCAGCACCCGGAGATCACTGAGAGATATTATGCTTGGCATCGAGGCCAACCAAGACAAGATTCTTTGACAACAGGAAGAGATTCTTGGCTACTTGAGGGGTGGAGCTGGTGGAGTGAATGGAGACAGAGGAAAGGATTGAAATGATGATTTCTGTTCTTGTTTGGGGTTGTTTGTTGTTTATTCTTTGGATGGTTTCTAGGGAATTTCTATACTGTTGTGGAGGGGTTTCTTCTTGATAATTCTAGTGGATCTTTGTTTCTTGTTATGATTCTTCTTTGTGATTTTTGGGGGACATTTTGTAGATGATGGTGGATATTTGTGGATGTTTATCTTTGTTGTTTCTTGTGGATAAGTGAAGTTTATGTTTTTGTGGATGATTCAATCATTGGTACCATTGTAAACACATCATCTTTTATGGAATGAATGATTCAGTTTATCTCTCTTATTTGTTTAAAATGCATGTATAGGATTAGCACTTTAATTCTTGTTAATAAATAACGAAACAGATGTGGATGTTAAGATTACTTGTGAAAATGACTAAGCACATGATCAGTTTGACACCTCAACTTAACAACCAAGACGTAAAACCTCATTTTTTTGGAACCTTGATACTATCTCTATGATTTAATTGTCAAATGTACATCAGTAATTGCTATTCTTGAGGTACACGGTGATCAGACTCAAAAATAGAATCGCTATATAACCAACATTCCTTGAAACACTAGACATAACCAGTGGACATGACAAAGAAAACCATGGTAAGTCTTGAGCTTCACGATGTTTTTTGAGAGGAGATCAACAATTACTCAAAGTAAGCTCTTTCACTTCCGATCTCTTTTAATAATCTCATTAACCTTGCTTTGGTTGACACAACTAAAGTGATCTATTTTCATAACCCACAAAGAACTTTTGCATACACGTACATATGCACATACTTGAGAAAGGATCTTAGGCCATCTTTGGATCGACTTTGAGCCTTAGTTAATTCTTTTACAAAAGTATATCCCTAGTCAGCCATGCTTGAGCCTTCAACGAATGAATTCTTTTTCGAAAAAAATCGTGTGATGACTGACCCACAAAAGCATATATCTACCATACCTTGCTATCTAATTTCTTGCATCCTCTTACAAATCAATATGATACAGAAAGGCAAGAAAAATAGAAAAGACAATGGTGGCTACTGTTCAATAAAAGGAAAATTGGTGGAAACAACCGAAAGAGAAAAGATACAGTGAGATAGGGAATTGCCAAGAAAGTGAAAATAAAAAGAGAAAATAAAAGAAATAAATCCAATTCCCAGGAAAAATGTCGAGAAGCTAGAAGGAGATGTGCAACACTACATAAAAAGATAGCTTTTGATCATCATTGACGTCATTTCATTAGCCACTGACCTCTGGCCCCATTACAACCTACAAAAAGCCCTAGGTGATCTCAAGTGTGATGCATATGTATGTTGTCTACTACAAGTGGGGTGTGTTAACTAGAATTTCTTTATTTGCATCAATATTATTCCATGAGATTATGTCAAGGTTAAGTCTGTTTTCCTCAAAACTTCACTCTTATACTAATTATGCATGAGATTTTTCGACTGGCTATCTTCTGATCACATGCCCTTTTTGAGAGATAAGTCACTATAATCATAGCGATTTGTTTTGATGAGAATATTCTGAGAGAGGACTGTGAAATCAAAGCTATCCATGGAAGGTGGAAAAAGGGGAATGATTGTTATATACCAATTCTTGTTTCTAGAATGACCATTCTACTACTCAAGGAATTCCAAATGCCAATGTGACAAGTGCCAATTTTTGCATAGAGTAAGTATCAATGGAAAAGAAATGTAGGGGATAAGTCACGATTGAGGGTTGAGTGTCCTAACGACCATGATGCTAATTCATTTTTTTAGTCAACAATCTCACACACACATTTGTTCGACTAAAATTTGTGGGTAGCTTCACTGAAAACCCTCACGAGACAACACTCGTCCACTAGGGTAAACCTAGCGGTTCAACAGCTTGTTGTATAAGCTAAATGTAACTAGATGACCTACAAAAAAGGCATTTACATTTCATTGTTGACATATTACTAGAGACTAGCAATATTTAGGTTAGGGGGTGTGATTGGTACTTAAATGTAGCATATTATTATGCCTATTTTTGGACTAATTATACTTTGATGGAGTTTAAGTGATGACATTTCAGGTTCTAAAGTGGAAAAAGAGTTCAAGAACAACAAAAACCACACTTGAATGTAACACTAGCACATTAGGGAACAAAATTGGAGAAGCTTGGAACAAAGCAAGAACATTCGAATGTCAACCCATGTTCGAATGTCCACTGGAACACCTGGGTAATGAGTGCAAAAAGTCAAGTCCTGCATGGAATGTGGAAGTAGGTTTCCACAAAAGACTAAGACCACTTGAATGATGTGGTCACATCTCATCTGATGTTTAAACGCCCCTAAAGCAAGACCTGAAGACACGTTCGAACGTCAGACAACGTTTGAACGCCCTAAAGAAAAACAGAAGACAACGTTCGAACGTCGATTCACGTTCGAACGTCCTCTACAGACTGCTTGCAGAGTAGTTGATTTTCATGGGCGGCATATACTATTCACTCATCCTCTCTTATCTTCTTGTTCACCCCCCCTCCTTTTCCTTGCCTATAAATAGCCCCATTGTGGGACCTTCAAGGGTGGCAAAAATCTTTCTCTTGTAGAGTAGAGTAGAGAGTTAGTTTTTGTACATCTCTTGTTTATGTTTTCATTTTGCATTTGTATCAACCATGATGAAGTCTAAGACTCCCCTTGTAGTTGAAGTCTTTTATTTACTTGTGCTAAGTTTTTACATTTATGTTGTGAAAACCATGATGGAAGCTTAGATTTCCCTTGTAGTTGTACTTGCTTTTACTTACAAATATAAAGAGAGATAGCCTATCTTTTGGTTGTGGTGGAAACCCTCCAAAAGTAACTAGCTTTCTTTTACTTTCAATGTTCTTTTACTTCACTTCCATTGCTTGAGCGTCCTTCCTTCTTAGAAGAGTGAAACTCTTTTACTTTTCTAGAGCTTTACCAAATCCGTGAAAGGTGGAACGTGATTCACTCATTCTTCGTCGAAGAACAACTCCTCTTTTATTGTTCTTTACTTTGTAAGTTTTCTACTTGGAGGGATGAGCATCACTCATTTTTTTAGTTTTACCCAAGCCATGAAGAGTGAGTAGTTTCTCATTCACTCTTTAGTAAGAGGTGATGAATATGCAAAGATTATCCGAAAGTTATGTTTGTGCAACTCCTTTATGCTTTAATGCTTTATATTCCACTTGCTCATTAGATGATTGAATGCATCTAGCAAAGTTAAGGTACTTTGTATAACCAAGGGCTCCTTCTATGATATAGATGACTCCTGCATAGAAAGACCCATTGGTTCAAGGCAAGCACCCCGCCTAGCTCTTCATGACAAACTTTCAATCTCCACCATTATTGTGCTTTATTCAAAGAATGGAACATTAATGTCATGGTTGGATGCCTTGTAGAAATACTTGCTTGTTTGTATACGGGTTAAGTCTCGGCACAGACAATTCTTGTAAACTTCTAGAAAGGCATCAAAATCATGTGCTTAATTCTCACAGTCCATCTTTATCTTCCGATTAACTTACTATTGATACGGGAGTTAATTGAGTTATAAAGCACAAACATAATAAACCGGATAATCAATTACATGTTTTGATCTTCGAACTAAAGAGTGGTTGTTATCTCTGCTAATTTATCTTATATTTTGTCTAGAAAAAGATCCATTGGAAAGAATCTTATATTCTGTCCAGAAAATCCCACAACTTCAAATTCTCAAGACTTCTAGTTACTTGGTCTCTATTATTACTTACTTCAAAACACCAATCATAGTTCCCTGTGGATTCGACTACGGACTTAACCGGATTATTACTACAACTTGACCACATGCACTTGGGTGTACACATTTCGGATCAAGTCATAACCTTCGACCTTATGAATTTTTTTTAACTTTCTGAGGTTAGTTGGACTCAGATAATTGCAAGCCTTCCACAGATTTTTTATGTACCTTTTGAACAGTCCTTTGATGATGGTGAATTTTCCCTCAATTTCATCAACATCGACAAGATCTTGTTCTTTTTGATTTCTTATTTTGTTGGTCTCATCCTTTGTTGTCAACTTCATTAATGTCACATTTTTTTCCCCTCTTCTTCACACTATATTCGAGATCTTCTTCTCTTCTCCTTTTTCTTTCTTTTACTTTGATCTTCTTCACCATGGATGTTTGCCCTTTTGTTGGTGTCTGTTGCTGAGTTGGAATCATTGTTGGAATGGAACTGTGTTAGTATTTTTAAGTAATGGCATGCACAGATAGTTTGTTTATTTGTTCAAACAGTGCATCATTTTTAGCTTCAAGTTGCTTAATTTTTTCCTTGGATGCTTGAATTTTAGCCTGAAAAGTTTCCTCTCTTTATTCATGTTGACAAGCATGTCTTGCATAGTCATTTTTAGTGTCATTCTCCATTGAAAGCTCCTTGCTCTTTTGTTTGTAGTCAATATCTTTCTTCTTGAGGTCCCCAGCAACTTTGAGTGCTTCATCTCTATCTTTGATGATTTCTTCTTTATCAAAATTTGATTTCTTGTCTTTGTTTGAAGCATTTATATCATACAATCCCTCACCATGCATTTGTTTTGACTCATAAACAACAACTTCAAGAAGAGATTGCAATGGTTGTCCTTCATTTGCATTGCCATAACTTATATCCAAGATCGCATCATTATCGTCAAGCAGTGTGTCGTCCTCCTGCCATGGAGTGTTTTCACCACTATCATGTACCTGCTCATGTGTTTCTTTTTTCCTTTTCATATTCCCCTTTTGCAACACTATCTGAATCACCCTTTCCATGTGGACCACCATCGGATTCAACCTTTCTATCTCTCTTTTTCCCATTAATTTTTAGCAATTTTTTCCTCCTTTGTCTTTTTCAAATTATGACAGATAACCTAGAAACGACATGAATTATGTCATATTGAAGTCACATAATTTTTTGACAAACCAATGATATTAATATTTTCAACAGCTTTGTTGGCAACATGTGAACCAACTTCACAAGATAAATGATACAGTGACATTTGTGTGACATTGCTATAGTATCAAATGTCACACCATGTTCAAATGAGAATAAATAGAAGCATTAGAAATGGACACATCAAATTGTAAAACCCAAATTCACACTTAACATCTTTTGACCCAAGTTTTTGCAGCTTCTTTTGTCTCACAGCTTTTTGAAGACTTTGTACATTCCATTTCAAGAATATTGGGCATACATTTGGCACCTCAGGTGTTATTAATGTTGTGTGTTCACAAAGCCAAAACTATATTTTTTTTTCTAGATTGTTAATTTAAATATGTAAATCATAAAATAATAACTACTGTAATTTATCAAATTCAAACAATTGACATACAAACTACTAACCAGTATCAATAGAACGCAACCAGTGATTGTTGTAGAGGTATCCACGTTTTTCCTCAATCATAAGATAAGTGCATCATGAATTGCACGACATCAATCATATTTTCTAATTTCATCTAAACTCTTGACGTATGAAAAATATCCCCACCAAGTGTGTTTCTTTTGCTTGTAAAGAAAGGGATACCAATAGGAGTTGACAAAACAATCTTGCAACGTCATCAAAATTTGTTAGAGTTATACCAACCACTGCATGTCTCAGTTTACTCTTTATCAACATTGAATTCAATATGTTGTCTTTTTTGAACCAGTATTTGACAAATGATGTTTTTTTTTACCATGGTTGGTTGCCTTAATTTGCTTACGTCCATTGTGTATTCCAAATATAAGTTTCACATCACTTCTATGCAATCTCAATTCTTCTCCTCTAATTTGAAATCTACAGGATTTTTCATCGAAATATAATATCACTTTTAATACTTCATTATATGTTTTCCTACACCATTCTTTGTCTACCTTCTTATCTATTATTTTTGCAAACAATAACCACAAAGGTGTCTTCTGCAGGGCACGCTTGTGCTCGTCTCTAAACTCAACATCATCCATTGCCCTAACAATGACTTGCATGTTTGACCGTTCACACTTCTTTTCTTTCTTTGTTCTCTTTATCTCTACTACAAAGGAAAAAAAAAACATAAATTTTTACTGTGTACCTGAATGACATCTCCACTATGAAGAACAAACCAGCCTTTTCTCCTTCTCATAGTGAAAAATTCTTTTCCAAAAATGTTTCAACGATCTCGCCCATAGTTCTTCTTCACAGTGGAAACCTTGTTCCCCAACGATTTATGCTCTGTGTTATTCACAGTTGATGCCAACTTTTAGACTTCTTCACTGTGAAACCCTAAAAAAAAAATCAAATTTGTAATGAGAATGTTGAGACAATGGTGGTTTTGCGAAAGTTATGTCATTCACGTTTGAATTTCAAAAAGTCTAGCGATAATGGTGGAAGCTTGCATAACTGGTGTCTCTTCCCTTTCCTTTTAGAGGTGTCTTCAGATGTTTAGGAAACCGTTCAACTTCAACAAAAGGGGTATTTTAGACTTTCGTTATAGTATGTGGACTTTTTTACTGATATTTTTAAAATTGATACTTTTTAACTAATATTTCTAATAATATGTACCGGTCTCCTTGATTCCCTTATTTGTTAGGAAAAATAGGGGCCGGCACACAAAATACATATGTAGGGTTGGGTCATTGTGGGCATTATAATGTGACATCAATATCCACTGTATATACACAACATATACAAATTTTGACAAATGAAAAGTATCATAGTGTAAGTCAAGGATCGGCACACTGTGGACATCACAATGTTGTATCAATGTCACACTACATATAGACACCATATACCTGGTTTGCACATGGATGGTATCACATTGTGACTTCAATGTAACAGTTCAAATACACATCATATAAATATTCAAAACCATAGGCAAAGGAGACTAAAGATGGAAGAAAGGACGAGTTTGAGAGAGAAAATAGAGAAAGAGTGAGAAAAATTAGGGAGAGAAAATAAAGAGAGAGAGAGAGATAGCAACAACGAGAATCAGATCAAGAGAGAGAATAGGAAATCTTTTTAAAAACTAATGGAATCCTTTCAAAAATCAAATAGTTAATTATCCTTTAATTTAGGAAACCACTTAACTAGTAAAATAGAATCAAAAAAATAAAGAAATGGCTAATAAGACTAAGAGTATTGTTTTCAAAATTTTAGTTATAAAAGAGGAAGATTTAGTTCAAAATTCAAACGTGTTGTTCCACAAAAATAGAAATTGAATCTCACAATTAACTGGAAAATTTTTTTTACATAAATCAAATATTTAAAAAATAGCCAAAGTGTATCTATTCACAAAATATTTACACAAAAAAAACTTATACACAAAAAATTATATTAAGATACTTTCTCACAAATAAGTAGTGTATAGTATACCTTTTCATAATTTTCCCTAAGAACCACAATTTCATCTACAATAAAACAAACACTACTGTTTTTCAATTCTTGATCATCACAAAAATGACATTTTCAAGACGATGCCAAATAGAACTCAAACAAAAATAAGGATGATATCAAATACTAATTTCTTTCTACGATTATTGTACCAAGAGAATGGCTAATGTGCTACATACTAACATTGCACAATCCAACCATTTCAATTCCCAAGTGGCTGAGTAATCAACTTTTATTCTGCTAACACAAGCGTTTTTCACAAAACAATTAAAACCACAGAGAGGGGAAGGAACAACAAACAAGAATAATCCCACCCTCAAATTTCACCTTCTCTTTTGAAGGTCTAATTGGTGCTTCCAAGAAATGGATAATCAGTGTAGCCAATAACAGGATCAGGTATGTAAAATGTCTCTCTATCGTACTTGTTCAGAGGAGCATTTAGCTCGAATCTCTTTGGCAAATCTGGGTTGGCCAAGAACAAACGACCATAAACAACAAGATCGGCACGGTTTTCAGCCACAGCTTTGATACCATCTTCCCTATTATAGCCCCCTGCGACAAGGAAAGTGCCATTAAATGCCTTTCTCATGGGCAGAAGACTGTGGGGGCTGTCGCTTTTTTCTCCAACAGTTACCATCCTTGGCTCAACCATGTGGCAGTAGAGAATACCATATTTATTCAATGATTCAGCCATATAAAGACCCAGGGCTTTAGGATTTGAATCTCCTGATTCACTGTAATTTGCAAAAGGAGAGAGCCTAATGCCAACTTTATCTGCTCCTATCTCATTACTGATAGCTTCAACAATTTCTAGAGCAAACCGACAACGGTTCTCCAGAGACCCTCCATACTCGTCAGTTCTGTCATTGACTTGATCTTTCATAAACTGGTCTATTAGGTAACCATGAGCCCCGTGGATTTCAACCCCATCAAAGCCTATAAATCAAACATAAAATATCAACTCATAAAACAAATGCCTTCCAATATGTATACAACATACACATATAAATGCTAGTGTGCCAAATAAATGAAGTAAAGAATGTAAAGCTCTGCTTGGTCTCTGTGAGAGAGGCATCGAGGTCACATTTTGATGAATATCAAGACCATGAAATATGTAAAATATTATTGTGGATGAAGAACTATAATCTTCTCCAAACAGGCAAGCATATTTGTCCTTTCCCTAGGGAGATTTTGAAGGAAGTTTCCTAGGCTTTATAGATACTAGGACAACAACATTAAAATCATTCTAATAACACATTTTACCCTTATTTACTAGTCTTATTCAAACTAATAGTCTCTATGTTTACTTTCGGAAGAGTAAAATTTGTCCTACAAAAAATTCATTATCCAGTTTATTTTCCGTTGTCGAGGGTCCATTGAGTACAAATTTAGCATTTGGCATTATAGCACAAGCTGGCTGCACTGAGATTTGTTAGTTTTGAGGATCTTATCATTGCCATGGGCAGTGACCAATTACAAAAATAAACAAAAAATTGGCAAATTTCAAATAATATGGCTCCTCTCCTTTACATGATGTTTTTCTCTTTCATCACCGTTACTTTGTCATCAAAAGGTTTCCTCCTTTTTTTTTCTGTGGGCACAATAAAGCCCATGAATGATGTTAAAACATAATGCTTAAGAAATGAAAAATAATTTAATCTAAAAATCACATCACACAGTCATTATTTTCTTTGATTTCCTCTCGGAGATGATAGATTTGTGACTTCTAACCTATGCAATAGAATCACTGAGAATACAACCAATGGAAATGTACCCCTTAATATTTTCAGATCAATCATGGCCAATCTATAAATCATTTTTTTTTTCATTCAAAGGACCATTAAACAAATTCGAATTCAAACTTGTCAAATTACATATAAATAAATTTCGCCAATTAATCAAAAAATCTACGATTTCAACTCGATTACATCACATTCGTACATCTAAACTTCAATTCAATTTCATCGCATAATTATCAATTCAAAAACAATATCATCAAATAATCCAACAAGTTTAGTTCAATTCACGTCCAATTTCATCAAATACCATTTTGGGTAGATTCTAATAAAATAACCTAATACACCAGCTACCTCCATAATTGTCAGACAATCAAATCATTAAAAACAGGTGACTCAACAATGGACATTAAGACCTAGGAAGGATGGACACGGACACGGGTGTCATATCCAATACGATAAAAACACAAGGATATGACAAAGTTTCAAAATATAGGATACGGGTACGGCAATGATACGGTTAATTAAAATAATATTATATATATTTTTATATAAATAATATTAATAATGAGACCTAAAAATCATTGAGTAGTTGGTTAATATCTTACAATAATTAAGTAATGGACTAATATATTAGAATTAGGCAGTGGGTTTAACAAGAAGTGGGCTGTGAATTAATTTATTTAACAAATAATAAATAAGTTATACAATATTAATAAACAACGCATCTGTTCAATTGAGAGAAAGAGAAAGAGAAAAGAAAAAGAAAAATGTGTCCAGCTAGGGCACCAACATAGAAACAGCCGAAGAATAGAAACAGTCGGAGAGAGGAAGAATAAGAAGGAAAGAAGCAAATTCGAAGCTACGGTATGTCCCTCCGTCTCTTCTTCTCTCTCTATTGACGATCACTTCTTCTTCTTTTTTTTTTCTTTTTCTAGACCCTTATTCTCGTATCCTTCCCTTATCTTTCCCTATCCCCCCATATCCAAATTTTCTTTTTCATTTCCTGTTTAGGACATTTCTAGAAGTGTCAGACACTTGTCCGACTGTGTCCCACGCGTACTCGTGTCGGACACGTGTTTGACACTGCTACGTCAACCCTTGCCGAAGTATCCGTGGTTCCTATATTGAGACGCATCAGTCACTAGATGCTAAATTGAAGAACAAGGGGACGACGACAGGGTATTTAGCCCATATCACGATGTTGCGGAATAATATTGCGATATTTTGGAATTATAACTCGGATAATTTGGCCGAGTTGTCCGAGATGTTTCCAAGTCAACCTCAAATTGAGTGCCTTGTGCTTTACACAGAACATTCATCAGAATCGAGTCAAACACGACTCGGTCGAGTTGTTTTGCTTTGAATCATGCACCATAGGCAATACTTGCTTCACTAGAGACTAAAATACAGTTGGCATCAAATCTAAACCACATCAAGCTATATAAACTTGACCCATAGTACGATTACTTATGATCTCAATCATTCAACATGGGTCTCTTTAAATCTCGTTCAAAGGTTTCTCTCTCTCTCTCTCTCTTATATATATATCCTTTAGAACTTGCTGATGGACACCATTTACCTTGCCTAATTTCAAGAGGAGCTAAACATTTTGTCAAAAACTGAAATTTAGATTGAAAAGCTTACCAGCTTCCATAGCATTCCTCGCAGCAATTCTAAAGTCATTGACAACTCCAGGAATTTCATGGGTACTTAATCGTTGTGGAGGTGAAAATTCTGCAACATCAACACCATTGGCTCGAACTTGAGGAGTTAGTGGCTTGTCTGTGCAAGAGATAGGAGGCTGTCCATTTGGCTGAAAACCTGCACGATGCCATCGGATAAATAGGTTTAGAAGAGATGCAAATATGATATAGTTCTCAAAATTCAATACAGTAGGCTGGATTACGGTTAAAGATAACAAAAATTATTAGAGTTAGCGAATAAAAGTTACCACATGGGTGAAACAGATTTATCCCAAACATTGAGAAAAAGTTCATTTGTTAAAATCTCATACAAGGACCCCCCACTTTTTGAAAAATCAGAAGAAAGTCATGTAAAATGACCTTTCACATGCATGGCACGTATCACTTTTTTCTTTTTCTTTTTTTTCAGGTCTTACTAACTCGTAATTGTCACCTCAAAATTCCTGATTCCAGATGGCAGATTTTTGCAACACAGATCCCTTTTTTTATAGGCATTGAATCACTTGAAAATTTTGGAGTCATAAAATTGTAAATGGTGTTCAGTTGTTAATCAACAAGTGATCAAGTAGACAGCAAAATGAAGGTAATAGATCAAGAATGTACCTTGATTAGAAACTCTCCCTACATGCCAAATCTGACAAAAGAAGATTCCACCTTTGGCATGAACAGCATCTACAATGGGTTTCCAAGCTTCAACTTGTTCTTTTGTCCATATGCCGGGTGTTTGCGGATACCTTTATTTAATTCAATATCTTAAGTGCCCATGAAACTATGAAGATACGAAAGTATATTCTCAAGTGTATATATATCGTTCAGCAAGTCAAACCAATACAAGCAGAGGTATTTTATAATTACCCTTGAGCTGTGGCAGAAACACCAGTGGCTTCCGCTATGAGAAGCCCTCCTTTGGTGGTTCTCTGGGAGTAATATAGGATAGCATGTGGCTGTGGAACATTGTTGTAAGATCTCTGCCTTGTGAGTGGGGCCAAAACAATTCTGTCAGATATTAAAGAGAACATATAAGTTCACAACATAATCTTCAAAGTTTCCCACCCAACTGGAGTACTAATGCAGCAGAACTAAGCATCGATTGCTCATTGGAAGTCTAAATAATTACTTCCACCGACTACACTACCAAGGTTTGGTTGAAAAAAGAATACCAAATAGAAATGTAATCAAAATAAGGAAGAAAAACCTAGAAACAAAAAATACAAACCACAAGATTAGCAACTATTGCTTATAAGTACTTGGGCAAGTCAACGATACGTTATTCTCTAGTATGCAAATGCATGCACCCATGTATGGAACCATGTGTAGGCCAAGAAGGGGGAGAGGGCGGGTGGGCATGGCCCCCTCATTTGTTCAAAAAACTCTGCAACTCCTTTAGGCTTTCATAAAACTATATTTTTCCTCTGAGGTTTTCAAAAACACTATCTACATTGTATTCCCTCAATATGTTAAAAAGCTTAATGTGGTGGCATCTAATTACCAAATAGGGATGTAATCGCATGGATCAATATTACTCTTATAGGCAAATGCACTTGCTTGAATGAGTTTGATGATCAAAGGAAAAAAAACAAGTGAAATTACAACACAATCGGGATAAAAATGTGGCTTATATTAAAAGAATAATGCTAGACCGACCAAAAAACAAGCTCAAATTAAGTAACAAAATGATGTGACACTAATGAGTCGGTGCTAACTAAGCTAGATATTTAGAATAAAATTTAAGTGCATTAAATCAAAATTTAAAACGAGCTTAAAAGTTTTGGTCCAAGAATTAAGCCGTAAAATCAAAATTTTTGTTGAATATTTAGATAGGTAAGAATCATTTTATGGATTTTATTTTGTATAGGTAAATATCATTTTTACAGTAGCATGATCTTATGAAAATTGACTAAGAAAGGTTTTAGACAAATAAATATATGTCAACAACAATAACTTGTTGAATATCCCGTTCAATAAAATTTGTTCACTATGTCATTATTTGGCCTCCCTCAGGATAAAGCCATGGTTCCATCACTGCATGCACCACTGAGCACAAACAATCAACTGCTCTTAACATCTGCCAATGACTACTTGTGAGATCAATGATGAAAAAACAGAAAAACATTCAACAATTTATCAGTCTTACAAGAGCATATGTTGTAAATGCCAAAAACTATCATATAACAGTTTCATAGAATTTCAGTGAAGCTATCATATTCGTGAACAATAAACTCTCGTAGTTTTTGTCTCTATTGATCAGCATCTGCAACTTAGGAAATATAAAGGGGAGTGCATACTCATACTGCACACACGCACACACACAAACAGAGAGAAGGAGCAGGGGTAGGACAGAGTGGTAGTAATGTTGTAAGATACTCATCATTTAGATGTTCACTGTCATATGTTCTTTGAAGAATGATGTTTGAGAAAATGGGTCATATGTGCTGACAAATCCATAAAGAACCCCCATATTTTTGAAAAAAAAAATGGATAAAGAAGATGAAATGATCAAACATTATAGTATGAGAAAAAGCAAGCCACAAGTAGAGAAAAGTAATATAAGTTACATTCATCTCAAAATTTGGGGAGAATGCCTATTACTTAAATGCAGCCTTCCCACCTTATGTTGCTTATTATAGACAATTAATCTTCCCAAAATCTGTATATAAACTATAAAAAAAATTAGGTAATTTAGTAAGTCTAATTAATATTAGCAGTGTCTTCTGTTCTTTTGCAATGGTAAACACGCGGCATTTGCTATTACATAGATGGAGACTAAAAAATGGGTAGCAAAGGTTGAAAGCAAGAACTTCAATATAGATATTCATCCGATCACTCTTTTCCGCCCAATCTTCCAACAACTTCATTTTATGCTGTTATAGTATCTATTTAAATCTTTTTACGCACTGACACAGAGTAAACAAACAACATGAGCAACTGCATAGATTAAGGACAGGACAATGAATTGGAAAAAAATGGAGAAACCAAGTACCTCTTGGTCTTTGACATGAGCATTTTCAAGTGTTAAATGAAATGGTCTATTTCTGCTAGTGTAATTAATATTGCAATATGGAATGGAAAACATAAAATGGCATTTGATAATCATAAACTAAAAAACAAATGGTATTATTGTTAAAAGTCTTAATGTCACGTAGTCTTTTAAAGGTCAAATCTAGAAGTTTTAAGTTCCCAAATACAATAACACCACAAAATGTGATAGTATGGAGTGCACAAATAGCAAGATTAAAATCTAAATGAAGCCAGAGATTTTTTGAGGATATTGTTTCGAGAATGTCTTTACACACTGACACATATTGGCAGTACACACTTGTTAACAGAATTATACTTACAAAAGAAACTGAAGAAGAGGGGTCAATGTGTCAGGTTTTAGATATTAATTGAATAATCCACTAAAAACTCGGAGAGTTTTCATTAAATTTTTTTGCTTTCCTCAAATCAATGAGATCCAAACATACATTCACATCTTCAAGAATAATTGAGTTTCTATGGAATTTGATTTTAATATCATTTAATAAAACAGGAATTATTGAATTAGGCTCAAATTAGTGGACATATATACCTATCTGTCTAATACAATCAAATTGTTAGGAGAGAGTCTAACAAGCCTTCCTTTCCCAATTCCTTGATTCTCATAGTTCTAATTACCTAAACTTAAAACCAAAAAAAACAAACACAGTTTCATCCAATCAAAAACCACTCTCTTCAACTTTCCACTCTCTCTTCTGTTTTAATTCCTCTCATTCCTCTACTATTCTCTCTCAACACTAGTAGACATTATACTAATTGGGAGGATGAAGACAGAGAGAAGGGATGAAATCCCGCAAACCGCAAAGGTCGTCCACTAGTGTTTGTATATGTACATAATCAGATTAGGGGGAGAGGTCTTGGGAAGGCCTTCCTCCCCGTTTGCTTGATTATCCTCTCTGTCACTTCTTAAATTAAGAAACAAATTTCCTTCCAATCAAATTCTTTCACATTGTGCACATAACAACCACTCAGTCCTCCAACTTTCACTCCCTCTTCTCTTTCAAATTCTCACCTTACTCTCCTCTTCCCTCTTTACCACTACTGGACAATATAAACGGTTTTTTTTTCCCTGAGCATCTCATTAGTTTTTATAGAAACTAGAAAACAAAATAAATCAAAGAAATTCACATGGGGGTTTTCCTCAAACAGTTTCCCTCTGCTAAAAACACCAAAACAGAGAACATAGAGCGTTCACCGGTGACTTAAATTTTGTTCATGAAAAAACAAATCAATTGAACTGGTGAAGTTCAGGAAGAAGAGATACCTGTGGGAAAGTTGGAAGTTTCCCATTTTGTATGGAGTGAGAAGAGGGAGGTGGTGGGTGTGCACTTCATCTTGAGCTTCTTCTTTCCTCTCCATTACTCGGTTTGTGTCTCTTCTGTACAAACTGAAAATAGGCGAAGGAATAAATAATCGATACATCACAATAACCAAATAAACTGGTTATTTATAGAGAGAAATTTTGCATACGCCAACCAGTGTTTTTTGTCGTTGCGAGCGCCCACTAGGCAGGCAGATCATGTACGTTTCCCAATGCATCTTGCTTTCTTCGAGGAATATTTTAAAATTTATATTTTTTTTATATTATATTATTAATATATTAAAAATATAAATTAATTGTACTAGAGATTCCCAAAGTATAAGATTTGTCTCATTTTAGTCCATAATGTTTCAATTGTATCATTTTAGTCCCTAAAATATTGAATATATTTTTAGATGATCTTTCAAAAAAACAACGTCCAGATTACTAATAATTTTTTATGATAAACTTATCACGTAATATTTAAATATAGACAAAAAATAATTTTAATAGCACTTAAACAAAATTTGAGTACTCTTAACAAAAAAATGTGTAATATGGATAGCTTTTGACCAAAATTTAGACAGTTTATAATCAAAACTGTGTAATTTAATTAGCTATTCAACTAAAATTTCAATAGAAATTTAGTCAAAAAATATCCAAATTATTTTTTTGTCTATATTAAATATTACGTGACAAGCTTATAATAAAAAATAATTAACAATCTAGACATTGTCTGCTTGAGGGAGCATATAGAAACATATTCAACACTTCAAAGACCAAAATGATGCAATTAAAATATTGAGGATCAAAATGAGACAAACTCTATACTTTGAAGACCTCCAGTGCAATTAACCCTAAAAATATTATAAAGTGATCTTTTAATTAATTTTGTTATTAGTGTTAATAAGTTAGTTTTAGATAAAAAAAAATAACAAAAATTAAAAAAAGTGTTACATTATAATATTTTTAATACATTAAAGATATAATACAAAAAATTTAATCTTTAAAATAAAAAATTTAAAATCTTTTAGAATACAAAATATAAAAAAAAAAAAAAAAACCTTCTTTCCTTCTCTTGTTTTTGTTTTCTTTTTTTGGATCAATGTTTGTTTAAATTATTTTTTACTAACGTTTTACTCTCGAGAATTATTTATTAAATGAATAGTCAAATTTACAAGTTTAGTTTAGCATTTTCGTGCAATGTTTAGCAAATTTCTATATCTATTCATTTATTTGACTGACCAATCTAATAAGTTTGTCAATTTATTACTTTAATATGTTAAAATTAAACTTAAACACAATAATTTTGTTGAATTTTGTGTACAGCTATGAGGAGTAAATCAAATTCATACATAAACATCACATTATGTCAGCAATGAGCACATGCATGACTCTTTTGCTTTCTTTCTCTTTCTTTTGTGAACGGATCTCCTTGGAAGTGAAAGAGACCCGTTCACTTTCAAGGGCTCGGAGAAATATTGCAATCATTGTTTGTGTCTACCAAACACCATTCCACCACAAATGCCAACTCTGCCTCTTACCAGGTACCCACATGCACCCCAAGTGGCTTAGTGCATTGGTATGCGTATTCAAATAGGAACTTATACTGGTGCAATTTTTAAGTAGATTTGATTAATAATTCAGAATCAAAAAGAGGTGGAGGAAGTTGCTGGGCTGCAGGCCATGTGAAAGTACAGCTTCCTTGGGAAAGGATTATTGTACCCATAATTTGGTAGGGACATTAGCACATTGCCATGGCTTTATACCCCAGGCCAACTTCATCATTTCATTATTGAAGGTTGCGGAATCCACTTGCAGGAGACTCTTGGAATTATAATTAATTTTCTTTTCTAAATTATTTGTACTCTTTTTTCCCCTCCCTTCCTTTTCAAGTAAGTAGTTCGTATGAAGATAAAAAGCAAAAAGGGGATTGTTTCCTGGTCGGTTTGATTAGGAAGAAAAGAATGATAAAAAATAAAAATAATAGAAAGTAAAGTGAAAAAAAAAAAAATGATAGAAAATATATTTTTACGCATATATTTGGTTATAATGAAAAATTTGTAAGAAAGTTTTAAAAAATTTTCATTCTATTGTTTAAAAGAAAATAAAGTTAAAAGAAAACTTGTCTAACTGTCTAAATTATCCTTAATTATATAACAATCGGTCTAAAAAATATGGATTATAATTCAAATTAAATTTTTTTTTAAAAAGTGGCTTGTAACCTAATTCTAGGACAAGAACCAACACAAAGGTTTTTTGACCAAATTGAATGGTTAATCAAATTCATATCAATATTGTTTAAAATTAATAACTAATAATATATATATATATATATATATATATATATATATATATATAATAAAGGTAAAATATGAATTATTCTTTCATTTTCTTATGTTTTGAACAAGAAAAACAAAGTTGGTTAGTTGTGAAAAATTTCAAGTATGAAAGAAAGTTATTTTTTCTATCATTTTCTATTTCATGCTTAACTAAACACATAAAAATTTTAAAAAATTTCTCTTTCGCACATTTTCTAACATTCTCCCACTAAATAATCCTACCCTGAACCTTGATTTGGTTTTCTGAACCTCGTTATGAAAGTCAACTCCAGTCCAGTTTATTTTTGGTTTGCAACTTCGTGGTTTGCTATATCATTGTGAATTGGTTAGAACATCAAGGTATTGGTGAGGCCCTAATATCGTAATTATCGGCCCCACGTAAAGTTTTTTAAACACGATCTGTAATTGAAAGGAATTGGAATGCATTAGAGGAGTAAATAGTGGGAGAGGATAATGGTATGCTATCATTGTGACGTGATATAATTATTCAATAATAAACTTAAAATTTTATAAGATGAATCACACTTGATAGTTATTTTCATACATAAAATTTATTTTTATTTTTTGGTTAGATTTTCATAAATAGATAGAGTAACAAAATTAGAGTTTTTACCCTAATCCATGTTTTTTAAAAAAAAACTTATATCTAAAAGAGAGTTGTTTTTAAATTATTTTTCAAACTCAAATCCTTTTAAAAATGTTAGTTTGAATAACGTTTTTATACCAAAAGATGTTATTTGGAATAACGTTTTTCTAAAAACCTCATTTCAAACAACGTTTTAAAAAAAAATTATTTTTTTTAAAAGTCACATAAATATTAGTATGAGCAACGTCTTTTTAAGAAGTTGGTTCAACCAATGTTTTTTACCTTCTTAAAAACGTTGGTTTAACCAATGTTTTCATCCTTGTTTTTTAAATAATTAGGGAGAATTACACTCAGAGTTTGTCACTTAATCACTCATCACTTAACATTTAAAATATTACACATAAATCCTATGAAGTTTGTACACGCATAACACTTAAACTCATGTTATAAATATATATGTTAATAAATTATACTTAGACCGACCTAAAGTTTGTACGCATATAATACTTAAATTGTTATACTTAAACAAAAAATATTCCAATTAAAGATAGAATGTCAAATATTTTAAACTTTACAATCAAAATTAATGTTCTATTATATCATTTATTGAAATAAAATTAAAAATAAAAATTCATTTTTTTCTTAAAAAATCGTAATTAGTATACAATTAAACTATTTATTAGAATAAAACTAAAAAATCAAATAAGGGGTCCAAGTCATTCATAATAGAACCAAAATTCATGTTCTATTATGTTATTTATTGAAATAAAATTAAAAATAAAAATCTTTTTTTTTAAAGAAAATCATAATTTATACAATTATACTAACTATTAGAATAAAACTAAAAAAATGATAGAAAATATATTTTCATGCATATAATTGGTTAGGATGAAAAACTTACAATAAAGTTTTACACAAAATTCATTCTATTGTTTAAAAGAAAAGAAAGTTATAAGAAAAATTGTCTAATTGTCTAAATTATTTTTAATTATATTAAATCGGTCTAAAAAATATGTATTATAATTTAAAGTTAAAATTTTTTTAAAAAGTGGCTCATAACCTAAGTCTAGGATAAGCACCAACACGAAAGTTTTAGGACCAAATTGTATAGTTAATCAAATTTATGCCAATATTTTAAAATTAATAACTAATAAAATATTTTTAAAAAATAAAGATAAAATAGAAAGTTAGTTATAGATCACAATTTTATTGCATTTCTTTATGTTTTTAACAAGAAAAAAAAAGTTGGTTAGTTATGAGAAAATTCAAGTATTAAAGAAAATTATATTTTTTTAGTATTTTCCATTTCATGTTAACTAAACACATAAAAAATTTTAAAAATTTATCTTTATTACATTTTTTATCATTCTTCCGCTAAATAAACGAATCCTGAACCTTGGATTGGTCTTCTTGACCTTGTTATGAAAGTCAACTCCAGTCCAGTTTTTTTTTGGTTTGCAACTACGTGGTTTGCTATGTCATTGAAAATTGGTTAGAACATCAAGGTATTGGCGAGGCCCTAATAATGTGATATCATCGTTCAATAATAAACTTAAAATTGAGTAAGATGAATCTCACTTGATAGTTATTTTCATACACAAATTATTATTTTTTTTGTTAGATTTTCATATATAGATGGAGTAACAAATATGGAGCTTTTACCCTTATCCATGCTTTTTTTTAAAACTTATAACCAAAAGAGAGTCGTTTTCAAACTATTTCTCAAAATCAAGTACTTTTAAAAACGTTAGTTTAAATAACATTTTTATACCAAAAAACGTTATTTGGAATAATGTTTTTTAAAAAAAACTCATTTTAGCTAACGTTTTAGGATAACCTTAATTTTTTTAAGAAGTCACATAAGACCAATAAAAGTATACCTAGACTCCCTAAGAATTGTCACTTAATCACTCAGACCCCTAACATTTAAAATATTACATATAAATCCCTTAAAGTTTGTACACTCGTAACACTTAGACTCATGTTGTAAATATATCTGCTAATAAATTATATCTAGACCCCTCTAAAGTTTGTACTCATATAATATTTAGATTTCTTAAGTTTAAAATGTTATGCTTAGACTAAAAATATTTCAATCAAAGTTAGAATGTTAAATATTTTAAATTTTACA